CCCATCAGCCTCTTCTCCCTACCAAAAGTCCTCCCCCTACCCTTTCCTACTGCCACCCCCGTCTGACCCCTTTTGTCATAGGAAGGCCAGCCAGGACTACGAGAAGAGTAACTCCACGCTCCGTTCCACTCTTCGAGCGGCAGCAGCAGCAGCAGCGGCAGCAGCAGCAGCAGCGGTATAGGGCGGGCAGAGGCGAGCCGCCGCCGCCAGAGCACTAGCGCTTACCGAGAAAAGGGAAACGTGTCCGGAATATCATGTCGGGCTGAAGCCGACGCGCCGACAAGGCTATAGTCGGACTACGGCAAGCTCAGCCCTTCCCGGAGCGACCCAGTAGCGCGGGAGGGGGAGGGGCAGCGGGCAGCGGATGAGGGGAGGTGGAGGAGGGAGGCTGGGGAGAGAAAAAGGGGAAACGGCTCGGCACGGCGCATTGCCGAAAATAGCGTCATGCCGCCGCAAGTCGATACACAGAGATTGTCGTCGCGAGGAAAAAGCCGCGCGTCCCACAGGGAGAAAGGGGGAGGGGGCAGAGGAAGGGGGGTAGAGCTGTGGGCGCCACGGGCGGTCTGCTGCCATTGTAGCAGGAGAAAGGCGCAAGCATAAGGGGCCGGACACAAATTATATGCCTTGTCGTGGGGATGCGAGATCATGTTTCCCTGTATTTGAGGGACGTAAAATAACAGTTTTATAGACCATGATAAGGCCATGATAGAGTGACCCCACCGTAGAAAGTGGCACACACTTATCACGGCCTCCGTACGGCCTGAATATTCTCTCATGTAGGACGGTGCAAAAGGATGATTTCATCTCAACTTTTTAAGGGTTCGGTAGGTTGGAAGGAGATGGAGACGGAAGTCACAAACTCGGGTACAATCCACATATTATTTGAAATGTAGATAAATGTTACAAAAATCAGGTAACATTCAAACTGTGTAGCATAAGAGAAGAGTGAGAGGTTAAAAATTCGTTCACACTTTTGCTTCATTGAATGTATGTCCGGGACACATACTTCCGTAGTACGTGGAGCAGGCGCAACGTAGCTCAAGACACACTCAGGGGGCCTGCTGAGGGTGAAGGCGGGCGCGACAGAAAAGCAGCTCTCCGACATCACCGCCATGCCAATAGCTAAACAAATTGACAGAAAACTCGAATTCGCCCCTCCACGTTACAATATCCACTGGGACGCAAGAGGAGGCGTGGGGCAGGAGGATAGTAGGACGGCGACGGCGAGAGCGGGAGCAGGGGGTGCGCCGCGCTCGGAGCAAGGACG